CTATGACTATGATTGTCTGACATAAACCCACTTCTTCTATATGTGTTGGTCTATTTCAGGGCTGTTTTATTTTCACGTCAATATCATACCCTAGTAATAATATTATACCCTAGTAATCACTCTGACTTTATGGTGAATCTTAATATTTAGCACAGTAAACTTCTCCTATTTTGTTCTATTTCTCCAGGAGGGTCTTAGCTGTTTTTGGCTCTTAAAATTTCCATGTATATTTTTAAATTGGCTTGTTAAGCTCAATAAAATGTCCCATTCAATTTTGACTGGAACTGTGGATCAGTTGGGGAAAACTGACATCTTTATGCTGTTGAGTCTGATTATCCATGAACATATTATAAAACACATTTATGTATGTCGTTATATTTTTTCATGAAGTTCATTATGTCTTTTAAGTTCATTTAGTTAAAAGTCAGTAGAACTCAAACCTAGTCCCCAATCCAAAGCTATTCGTTCCACCTCATTCTACCTCATTTAATTTGAAGCAAGCAATTTGGATATAGCATGAATCACGTCGCGTCTTTCAAGTCATGATGACCATTTGCAGTTGGATCCATATAACTTATACTTTTTCTGTTTCGTGGGTGTGCCTACCCCATCTCCTGCCCCCATAAAGTAAGTTTTCTGTTTTATAGGAACAGATAGATACCCTTGAGCTTTGAGAGTGTGCTTGTTTATGAAAGATAACAATGCACAAGTTTGAAAATCTCATTTTACCTCTTGCCCTCCACACTTGTTTGTGGACAAGTCTTCCTATCATTTATTAAATAGTTCTTTTTCTTTTTCTTTCTGTCAGCCTTTGAGGGGGAGAAACTAGACACATTTGCCAGTGAGAAGAGTGGTTGTTAAACTAATGACGACTTGAATTTTGCAGCCTGTGTTTACAAAATGAGCTTCTGTTCACACTAATCATTGCTGATGTCCCCTCGTTGGTGAGCAATAATCCTGGCATGCTAACGCCACTGGAGATCCTATTTACCCGCCAACTCCAGAGCTGCTTGGCTGTAATGACAGATAGAAAATCAAGTGAGTTCCATTTATGAGTAAGATATAGAGAGTAGACGGCTTCTGAGACTACCATCTGCTCCTCGTTCCAGAAGAGGGTCACTAACGATGATATAAAGATACAGACCATGGAAAAATAGGAGTAATGGAGATATAAACTTGTATTAAAGAATGAAAACCGATGGTAGCCATGTCCACCTTTGCGGAGGGCTAAAGGTGTATCGTATGTCCATGGGGAAAACAGCTCTCTATGTGGCTCTGTAATATTTCAGAGACTGGAGGATGGGGGATCCGGGGGTATAGGGACTGGGAAATCCAGTAGCAGGAGATATGGGGGACACAGGAGAGAGACAGAAGCCCAACCCCAGTGGTGAACAGTCAGCCGAGAAAGGGTTGGTGGGAGATACCTCAGTCGGCGGGGTAGCTCGCAGAATGTGGAGATCTTTCAACGCCTCAGACTGCCAGCAACGTTTCTCTGTTTGCTTTTGTGAGTGATGAACTCGAGGAAAATGAGGTGGATTCCGTGGCCCATCGGACCAGGAGCAGAGGGAAGAGAAGAGCTGTATGAGATGGGACAGCAAGGGCGAGCGCTCAGAGGGACAGGCAGGGAGGGACACACCGGCCTCCTGGAACTAGCACAGGACAGGAGTTTAAACCAATCCGATTTAAATCTGAAAGTACAGGAAGTCCTCGGCCTACCTGAAAAAAATCGGGCCCTGCCCCTGTATTTATTTGATATCTGATAGAGGAAGGACACGCTCATCATCTTTCTTTTTCAGACAATTATTCTGACCTTGGACCAGAGCCACTCACGGTGAGTAATGTGAATGCGTTTGTGTTTATCCTCTCTGATTGCTCTTGCTCATCTAGAAAAACCAGGTGCAGAGACTAGACCCACGTGAGAGAGCCACATGCCCAGACCCCACAGCAGATGCAGTGAATCAGAACCCCTCAGGCCGTGGGGTCTGGGTATCGGTGCATTTGGAAAGCTCCCCCATAATGCTCTCATGTCACCAAAGCTGAGACCCAGTGGATGAGACTGTAGGCTTCCTGCAGTCAGGAGCCATGCTATTTATTCATTTGTCACTCCCGGTCCTTTGTATCACTGCTGACATGTGGCGGAACATGACAGAATAAACTGAATTCAGATAAAGAAACTAAGACGCGCATCTCTGCTCGATCTAGAGAAAGGGACGTAGATTATTAGTGCCCAGTAATACACGTGAGTCCTCCTCTGTCATTCTCACAGTCGTGCTGGAAGAAACAGATTTCAGAAGGAGGAAAACAAGCCTGGTGTTGGTCCAGCAAACGTGCCGTCTCAAAGTCTGGAAAGAGGGGGACTTAGAGAGAACGGAGTCTGTCCCTTCATTTTAACCTCTTGGAGCCCAGAGAGGGTAAGTGATTTTGCAAAGTGGCACAGCTTAGGGGCACACTTGGAACAGAGAACAGCTCCTCTCATCCCAGGTGTCTGTGTTACACCTTGCTGCCCTATGTAAGTGCTTGTGGGAGAGGACGCGTATGCGTGTGTGCATATAAGCATGTAAGTGTGTACGGGTGTGTGAATGTGTGCTTCTGTGTATGTGGGTCCGTGTCGTGTGTGCACGTGTGTACAAGGATTGGGAGAAGGCATGAAGCTGAGCGGAGCTGGTCTCCTCCAGAACTAGTTGCATTATAATATACGGACAGCCAGGAGCCCTTTCTTCCGTCTCTGTTTTGCTGTATTCTCTCCAGGTTGACCTCTGTCATGTGCAGCAGTGTTTGCCTGGGAAGCAGGGCAGGCCTCCAGGTCCTAGTGCCTGCCATGTAGAAGGTCTGCCACATTCAGGTTTACTGAGCTGGAACCGTGGAAGGTTACAGGGGCTACCTTAGGCTTGGACTGGTGGGAGTTTTTCTGTGTTGGGACAGTGGGGAAGCATGGCCCGTGATATGACTGGCTTAGGGCCCACAATCGTTCTGTGGAGAGATGGCAGATACCATGTGAACTCAAGCCCAACGGTGTCCGTCTTGGACAGGCCTCTCTTTCCATCCCAGTGTCCTCCAGGGTGCTTCTCTGCCAGGCCTGAGAGACTGGGGCCACCCGGGATCTCGATTCAAAGGCTGCTCACAGAGACTCTGCTGGCACAGACTGGCATGGCCCAAAGTCCCCCCTTCCTTCTCCCAGTGTTCAGGGAGGCCAGGTGGAGAAGGCAGAGCCTGCCCGGGGCCGCCTTCGATGAGCGTGATGTGCCAGCAGGCCCTGATTAACAGGGCAGGCTTGTGGAAAACCTCCGCAGAGGCGAAATTCACCAAGAGTTAGGCAGCACACGTTAGTCTTACCTGAGCAGTTGGAAATCACCGACTCATCGTGGCCTTTGCTTTTCATCCAAATGGTTCGAATCACAATGGCATAGATGACACTGTGGAAAGGAGCAAAGGTAATATTAAAACGGCTGGTGAGTCCCTACTGTGAGGACAGGGAGAGGGGACCACAGGGGTCCCTTAACCACACCCGCCCTCCATGTTTGCTGATCCCACAATCACAGCAGATCGAAACCGAAAGCCACCAGACGGATCGGCTGGATGCAGCCACTTCTTTTTTAAGTGAGGAGGCTAGAACTGGTGGAATTAATTTTTTCTAGGATAACCCTGGTGGTTAGAAGTATAGCTGAGATTAGAATCGAAACGCAGCGTTTGGGGTCGGAAAGATTGAGATTTGTGCCCGGCTCTACTCCTTGCTACTCGTATGACCTTGACTTTAGACAGTCTTTCCTATGGCCCCTGATTCCTGTCTTCTGTGTGTGTGCCTTTGTGTGATCCTTCCCCCTGGAGTGTGGCGGGACTTGTGACTGGCTTCTAATCAGTGCATTGGGATATTCATGATTACATAAGAGTGTAGTGCCTGTCTTTCTAATGTGTCTCTCCATTGCTGACTTTGAAGAATCAATTAATTACCTGGGGCTGTTGGATCATGAGTCCCACAGCCCCAGGAAATTAATTCTGCCAAGAACCCGTAGGAGCTGGAAAAAAGATTCTTCTCCATTTGAGCCTTTGATGGGCACCCCAGCCCTGGCAGGTACCTTGTTTGCCATGTACAGACTCCCGACCCACAGAAATGGTGAGATAATAAAGTCTGTCGTTTTAAGTCACCAGGTTCATGATCATTTGTTATTCAGCAATAGATAAAGAATGTACTGAGTAACACAGGCTGAACGTGTGTGTCCCCCTCTTCCCACACTCATATATTGAAATTCTAATGCTCAGTGTGATGGTGTTTGGTGGTGGAGTCTTTGAGAGGTGATCAGGTCATAAGGCTGGAGCCCTTATGAATGAGATTAGTGGCCCTATAAGAAGAGACCCTACAGAGCTCCCTCGCTCCGTCCACCATGCGAGGATACAGAGAGAAGTCTGCAGCCTGGAAGAGGGCCCCCACTTGCCCCCGCTGGCACCCCGATCTCGGACTTCCAGCCTCCAGAACTGTGAGAAACAAGTGTCTGTTGTTTATAAGCCACCCAGTCTGTGGTATTTTGTTACAGGGGCCTGAACAAACTAAGACAGGGAGCCTCAGCTGAGACTGTAAATTGGAGTTAATAATATAAACCTTTTAAGAATTTTTTAGGGATCAAATATGATAACATTTTCAGTGTCCAGCCCAGTGCTTGAAAAGGAGCAGAGACACAATAAATGTCATTTTCTGTCCCTTCTTTCTTCCCCATTTTTCACGTAATATCATGCCTACCCTTGTATGATATAATCTATGCCTAACAGGAAATTAACATGTTAATGACTCAAAAGCATCAGCAAATTTTATATCTTGTGTCCTCCTTTGATAAATATAAAAATACTCTTCTTTCATGTTATTTGACATTTCTAATATGTTAAATATCTTGACTAAAACTCTGGAAGAAAGAACTGCTTTATTTTAAAATAGTATCAACTTCCCTCTTGAGAATCACTGGTTAAAAAAAAATAAAAGCTCTAATTTGCAGCTGTTGACAAAGCCCTAATTTCTTTTAATGATCTTTAGAATATAACTTAATTAATGACTGTGTTAAAACCCTCTGCTTCTTACTGATTTTCCCATTCCTGTTCTGCTATCCTCTCTCCCTGAGTGCTCCAGGAAATCCCGGGGCTTTTTGGGATCACCTCACCCCCTTTCTCATATACCTGCCCAGGGACTTTTCTGGAATATGTATGTCTACATTTAAAAAAAACGAGAAATGAAAAAGAAATTACCGGTTAGTGTATCCTTTACTCTAAGTAGTATATTTGCTAGAGCAGGGCAACTTTTTCCCCAGGTAAATGACATACAAGGAAAGGTAACAACCACCGTGAAGTGTTGTGTATTATAATTGTAACCCCGGTGCTTCGCTGATCAATAATTCAAATATTTATTGACCACCAACCATATATACAATGGAAAATTAAGGAAGATCTTATGTTTTAGGGGTTTGGTCCTAAGTCGCCCCACCTAATCCCTGAAGGACCAGCCAGGCAAGTGGAAAGCCAGTACCAGCTTTACTGTCAGCCAGGAAAACGCCCGAGAAGGAGGGCACCCCTTTAATTTACTAACCAAATCAGGCCGGTTCTCAGAATGTGACGGTCACACGTCGGAGGGACCTACGGATTATATTTATCTCCTCTTTCTCCCTCATTTTTCCCTCTATTGACTCAGCAAGTGCTATAAATTGTCCTTTCAAAATGTCTCATAATCTGTAGCTCCCTCACCATTCCCGCTCTCCCTTTATACGTTGATGATTTTTTTTTTATTGTGGTAAAATACACATAACATAAAACTTATCATTTTAACCATTTTTAAGTGTCTAGTTGCACGGCATTAAGTACATTCACTTTGTTGTCTAACCATCACCACCATCCATTTCCAGAACTTTTCCATCTTCCCCAACTGAAACTCTGCACCCATTACACACAAAATTACAGACAGCTTCACGAATTTACGTGTCATTCTTACACAAGGGCCATCTTAATCTTCTCTGTATCATTCCAATTTTCGTATACTTGCTGCTGACGTGAGCGCCCCTTATTATCTCCTGCCTGATTATTGCTATAATCTTCTAACACGTCCACTCTGCTACCATCTCGAATGCCCACACCACCATCAGAGCTGGAGCTCTAGGGTCGAGAGCCAACCACTTCTTGGCTTAAAAGCCCTCCAGTGCCTCCACCTTCCTAAAGATGAGGGGCAGTATCTTAAGCAGGGCATCCAAAGCCCCCCATAACTGTCTTCTGCCTTCCTCATATAGTAAAAATATCATATGTACACATATACACACACATATAATATATATGTAATATATGATTACAAAAGAGCAAAATGCTATTAAAATAAAATGTAGGGTGACATAAGAGTACGTAACAGGGGCCTTGATTTGTTCTGGGAGTCGGGGAAGCCTTCTCAAAGGAGGTGAAGTTTCAGCTAAGATCCGAAGGATCAAATGCAGAGGAGGTGATCATTCGGGCAGAGGGAACGGTATGTGCAGAGGCTCAGAGGCAGGAGGGAGCCTGGCTTATTTGAAAAACTTAGAGAAAGCCCGTGTGCCCGAAGCGTGTGCGCAGGCAGTGTGAGGTGAGGACCAGACCGTGCGTGACCTGCACACGGGGTTAGAGGATTCAGACTTTATCCTGAAACAACGGAAATTCACTGAAAGGCTCTAACAGGAAAGCGAAATAATTGTTCAACAATTTTTTTCCGGCGATAAGACATTTTTTCAGTATGTATAACTTGTTTATGTATAAATGTATATGCTGGCATATGAATCGATCAGTCTGGAAAGGTACACAAGAAATTTGTAACAGTGCTATTTTGAAGGAGCGGGACAGGGGGCGAGTGAGAGGAATATTTTTAGTTTTCGTTTCATACCCTTCTATATGCTTAGCAATTTTCCAGACGAATGCGGGTTCTGGCTATCATGCAGAGTCGGGACTTAAAAGGGTGAGAGTTGATAGGAAGCTATTGCACTAGGCTGAGTGAAAGATGGCGGTCATCACGGGAGTGTATACCGACTCCGCTGTCCTTGAATTTTACTCCAGGTCTTTGTGAAATGGCTACAGCCGTGTGGCCTGATGATGGGGAGGAGAGAATACACTCCAGAAGCAACTCAGGCTGTTTGGTGCAGGAATTCTAAGATGGGAACAAGGGCCGTGTGGCCCAGGTCTCACCCCAGGGCCCACGGTGGGGACAGTCAGGAGGAGAGCTGTCAGCGTTGAGCCCTGCTCTTTGCCTGTTCCTCTATACAGTGCTTTACATCTCTGTCTCAAAACCATTGGTTAACACGGTGCTGGGCACTGTATGGCAAATGCTTAACCCATACTGATCGGGGTTTTCACTTCCTATGAGTTCTTATTTTATGATTTCATATGTGAACAATGGGAAATAGAGTTTATTGTCCCCATGTTATGGATGATGAGGCTGAGGTCCCATGACTAGCAAAGATCAGAGGACAGATTCAAATCAAGGGCTGCTGGCCACCAAAGCTCTGATATGATGTTGTGATAACAAGAATCGTGATTTGCTTACCATATCAATCAACCAAGAATTGTGCCAAGCCCTTTATGGAAATTACCTTATTTAATCTCTCCAACGTCCTATGGTTGGTGCTAGCATTATTCTCATTTTCTAGTTGGGACAGCTTCAGTTTTGAGAGCATTAGAAAAACTAATTTCACTTAGATTTCTAATTCATATCTAACGTCAAAAGTAAATGGTATTGGGACAATTGGCAAATCAAATAAAATATATATTTTAAAATGATATTTTTAATATGCTGTCAACACTGAAATCATTTTCAAATGATTAATGTAATAAATCATAAGAAAGTTAAATCAAAGTGTAGATAAGTATGTGAAAGGGATGATTTTTAACTGAAATGATAAAATGTAAAGAGAAGCATGAATAGATGTGAATATACTAAAATGTAAAATGTCTATATTTCACAAAGGCCATACATACCCAACTCATTCATATTTTCACTTGTATTTATATAAAGTTTTGCAAAGTCCTTTCCTATGATTCTTTTAAGTTTTTAGAAACTAGTTATTTGACTTTTTCATTTCTAATTACAGTTATTCACACTTTCTCTTCTTTTCTTAATTATATCAGTCATTAACTAAAAGCAAAATGAAATAAAACCCTATTCAACATGAAAAGACTAATGACAAACTAGGAAAATGCCCTCAACATATAAAAATAGGAGAAGTTTATTATATAAAAAATTTCTCTAGAGAATAGGGAAAATAAAGTAAAATAGAGAAAAATAGGTAAAAGAAAATGAATAGGTAATTTATTTAAAAAACAAAAATGATAAACATAGAAAATGTATTCAACCTCATCGTAATGAAAGAAATGCAAATTAAAAAAACTATAAAAAAATAAATAAACAACGATATATAGATATATTTTGCCTATGAATTTAGTGAGGATATATATATATATCACATATGTATTATATATATGTATGTGTGTCTGTCTGTCTATCTATCTATCTATCTATCTATCTATCTATCTATCTATCTATCTATCTAAATGCATGAGGGACAATGAAGCATGAGACTTGGTTAATAAAGTTAGTGGCTATCTTATTTGAGTTTTTTCTTAAATCTACCTAGGCTTAGAGTTAAAAATTTAACCTTACCTAAGGTCTTTACCTCACTCTTAGCTCCGAGAGATATGAAATTGTAGCAACTTAATGTGGGAATTAGTTGAAAAATTCCCTCTGGGCCCGATCTTGTTTCAAGAAGGGAGGAGGAACTGATTGAGGTGGGGGTGCCATGTCCCCCGGGGAGCCTGACCATGAAAGAAGGAAGATACTGACTGAGCAGGTAGGACATGCTCCAGAGAAGCTCAAGGACAGAGAGAGGTCACTGAAAATTCCTGGTGCCGCCTGGGCTGGAAGCAAGGAGCAGGATTTAAGGAGCATCTTAGTGTGATGAGGGCTGAGTGAGACCCACTTTTGAAAGCATCCCCTTTAATTATCAAATTATACTTTGCTTTTTCCAAGGACAATACAAAACAACACAAGTCGGGCTGTAGGCAAGTTTGAGGAGAAGGCCTGGAGGGAAGAAGCAGCTCAAATTAATGGGGGAAATTTCAGACAGTGAGAGACCCGCCTGACGCATCTGGCCAGACAGCATAGCGCAAGCTATGTGGTTCACGCTGCTATCTGCCCTGCTGAGCAAGGGTTTTGACTGATTTCAGGAGCTGATAGGAAATCAATAAGGAAGGAAGCCAGGACATGCACTGCCACTGAAATCGATGAGTCGGTTGCCTGTGACAGCCTGAGCCGCTTCCTTCCAAATGCTCTCTTCTGGCTGGGACTAGCCTCTCCCCTCTTCCGCATGCCCCCTCCAGTGCTGCTCTGACTTACCTTTGATTGGCCGTCTAAGTAACCTTCAACTTCCCTTCAAGACTCCTTCCTAATTCAACTTGCTGGAGAGCAGTAAGTTGAAATAAAATATAGATGTTAATTTGTCAATTCAGAGAGATGACTGGACACTCTCCAATCTCAGCGAGGCCGCTGGGCTGGCTGAGGGGATGTTTCTGCTCCCGGCCGGCTCACCCTCTGATGGAGAGCCGCAAATCGCTTCACTTCTTTTAGCCCTAAGTCTGTTCTTGCGAAAAGTTCAGGGGCTGAACTATGTGATGGATAACATTTCTCCAGCTTTAGTATTTTCCGAGACTAACGATGAGCAAAGAGCAAGAAGAAGTCATTTCTGCAATATCAGAAAACACTTGAGAAATAAGACCTAACCACTTAGTGATCAAAGAGATGCACATTGAATCAATGAGACACTTTCCAACCTCTGCCGTTGGCTGAGATTTAATAAAACAATGGCACCACCTTCCACTGAGTGGGAGAAAGGAAAATCGGAGCTTGTGATGGTTGTTGGCGGGAACACACCCCTCCCAGAAGGCAGTTTATGAACATCCATCGAAGTCTTAAAAGGAGCAGCATCTTTGATCTAGCAATTCCACTAAAATTAGTGCTGGGGAAATAATCAGAGACTCATGAATAATTTTCAATGTAAGTAGTTTTATTACAGCATTGTTTATACTATCCAAAGCCAAAGGCTGATCTTTCTTTGTCTAGGACAAATTTTGCGGCACATCGCGGCAGGTTTGGGGGCACTCAGAGGGTGCAGCAGGATCTCAGGATCAGCGTGACTCGAATACACACTAACTATCCCGCTCACCCACGCAGGTCTGCCCTTTCAGAAACGACCCTGCGACACGGCCAGGTGAGACCCTGCCTTCCTCAAGTGGTGGTGGTGGTCTCCGCTGCAAGACCAGCTTTGGCCCACCATTGACCACAGGACAAAGGGGACTTCTTATGGCTTGGTTGCTAAGGCCTGTCATAATCGAGCCTTGCCCCGCCCAGAAAGAGCTTATTGTCAACGTCTCGCCCACTAACACTGCCTGCACGTCCTTCCTCGTCATCACACTCGCTCTTTCTCTCCTTCCCCTTCTCCTATCTGACTCCTTCCCTCCTTCAGTGGTGGCTTCCAAGAAGTGTCCCCTGCCATTACCTGATTTCACTGCATACATACTCTAGCATAGTTTTGTCTTATCGTGGTTTTTGTTCAAGTTTGTTTCAAGTAGGTCTGTCATTTCCATTCCATAAGATTTCTGTAACTGGTACTATGTCCTATTTGAAAGGCTGCATGATTCAAAAAGAACAGGGTATGAAATCAGACCAAACTTCGTTTAAATCCTGTGTGATGTCGGGTGACTTACTTAACCGCTCTGAGCTTGAGTTTTGTCACTTATAAGATGGAGACGGCGGTAGGTATTTCATAGAGTTTTAGTATGGCTAACGGGGTACTTGTTAGCTACTTAGCACAATACCTGTCCCATACTCCAGACCTGGATGATAGTGGTTCCCTGCTCCTTATTCTCCTTTGGAGGAGTTGGGCTTAGCACAAGCTTTAACATTGTGGCCTGGCCAGTTTCCCCAAGAACGCTAGGAACAACGTGTGAGCTGTCGCGGAGGCTCTTACCTGATGATGGCCAGCGGGATGAAGTACACCAGGAAGGCCACGATGGTCATGTACGGAGTCCAGTAGGAGTCGTCAGGCCACAGGGCCCAGCACTGCACTTCGCCGTTAGAGAGTTTCCTCTTCCCAAATATGATCAAGGTGGGGATGGAGAACAGGAAGGAGAGGCTCCAGGCGGTCACGGTGAGGATCTTGGCTTGCTTTTCTGCTCAGAGAAAAGAGAGGCAGGACTGGGCATCTGGAAACATTCCTTGGGCGAATACTTGGAGTCTAAAGTAGAAAAGCGTCATCGTGTGATGGGAACTCTGGGCCTCTCAGAGCCTCAGTTTTCTCATCCGGAAAATGGGGAATGTAGGACCTGCATCCAGGGCCGATGCAAGGATTAAAGAGAGGCTTGCACGGAAGCTGGCAAATACTTGGTATGAGATCTATGCTCCCTAATTTCTACTTCCCTCCTCCTTTCTCGATTTACCCACCCATCTTGGAACGTGGATGCACCCATTCTTATAGTCTTGGAGAGCTCAGTTGTCCCACATGCATTTGATACTTTGCTGTGCAAATGCGTGTCTGGTCACCTTGCTGAACCTCCAAGGCAGGGCTGGAGCCTTCGGCCTGTCTGGCATCCTTCCATTTACCATAGTGACATCACCCAGAAATGGCCAATTTAAATTTTGATGATGTATTCATACATAATATATGGGTTACATATATAAAAATAAGGTCATAGTACATATGCTGCTTTATAATCTATTTTTTTCCACTGAAAAAATATTATGACCGTCTTTTCATGTCAGGAAATCTGTGTCTACCCAGGTGGCATTCGGATATTGTCAGTCAATAAGAGCCTTTCTTGAAATATAATTTTATCTCAAGCTTGGAGCAGGAAGCCCAGGTCGTTTGGGTTGAAACTGGGTGACAGTCGGAAACTTCCAGCCCTGTCCTGGAGCAGTTCCACGGAATGAGCCCTCGGCGGCCAGTGTGTGAGGTGCAGTTTGAAAAGCACTGATAAAATAACATTTTTCTAGGGTTACACTGAACTCCAATTTTATCAATAGCTTATTATTAAGTATTTAAATAGTTTCCGATTATGTTTATTATCAATAATTTATACTATCTCTTCGCACTGTTCTAATGATTTCCTTAGGATGAAATCTTAGAAACAGACAACTTTGGCAAAAACTGCCAAATTTTCCCCCATAAGTCTACAAGTTACAGCTCCCTCCGGAAGTATACAAAAGTTCCCATTTCCTTACACCCACTCAACACTGAGAGGATTCTTTCTCTTAATATTTTTATCTAGTTTGTAAGATTTCCTATCCAAATATCTAATCTTGAAGCTCTTCAGTTAGTAGTCAAAAGAGCATTTCTATATATCTTTTATTTCAGTTGTGTTTCTTGTTTCTTAACATTTTTTTTCACGTTCTTGGTCTACTTTTTAAATCGGCAGGTTCTTATTTCTCTGCCAGTGTTCTTTATGAGGATATTACCCCTTTGCCTGTTGTATACACATATTTTTATTTGTCATTTTGCTTTTTAAGTATGTTTCCAATGTGTATTATTTGTATAACCTGAAAAATTTTGATACATTAAAACCGTATTTTCCTTATTGTTTGTGCTTTTGGTGTTATTCGTAGAAAGAGCTTTCCCTCAACAAAATTATAGAAGTTTTACCCATAAACCATAGTCTTTCATGTTCAAGATTTTTAGTTTTCAATCCAGCTAGAATTTACTTTGTTATTAGCTATGGCAGGTGGTGATCTAATGTTTCAAAAAATGGTTAGACAGCTACTTCAACACCATGTGTTGACTAATTGAGTCTTTTCTTACTGATTTGATATTCCATATGCTTTCCATAGCTTATCCTGGTTCCAGTATCATATCATTTTAATTATCAAAGTATCATATTTTAATATATCTAGCACTGCGTCTCTCTCTTCATTATGAGTAGATATTTTTCTAATTATTTTCATATTTATTTTTCCTAAAGAGCCTTTAAATCACCCACTTCTCTGGAGCTGCTGGCTACCACTTTAGTAAAAAGCAATAAAAAAAAGTGAGTGCCATGCGGCCTCCCCTCCCCCTCTGCTTCCTCTGTCAGGTGCCCCTGCCTTGTGCCCGCTCAGCCATGTGCGGGTGCTGCCGGCTTCCACCTGCCCCGTTCTGCACGGGAAGGCTGTGTGCTCTGTGGGGAGCCTCTTCTCCCCTCTTCTCTTAGCTCGGTACATACACCCCTGCCTCTGCCCCTCGCGGCTGCCCTTAAGTCCAGTGAGTGTAGCATCATGGTGAAGACACGTAGGGTTCCCTGGACCCTCGCATGCCCTGTTCTCACCTATTGCTTCACCCTCTAACTACGAGGACCTTTGACGCTTGCTGCATAAGGCCACGCAGCTCTCCTAGGTGGCTTGGCATCCCTGTTAAATCTGCTCCCCATGGCTGGGAACGCCCTGAAGTTTCTGGCTTCTTTCCTTGGCTCCCATCCCAGCTGCAGGTCGTCCCTTATTATTTGTACGTTTCCTCCAAGATGTCACTTGAGAATGGGCGGAGGAAGGGAAAATGGCTGATATCTGTTTCCAAGCTTGCATCTTTCCCTGGAGCTCTTGGAAACGATTATTTTCCAAGTGCCCTGCATGGGACCTCCATTAATTTTGTAGTGAGGAAATAAATTGCTTCACATCTTTAAGAGGACATTCTAATCTTCACTGCTGCTTTTCCTGTAATTTAGGACACTGTTCAGATTATTGCAAAATGTCTCCTAGAACTCATCATATTTACCCTGAAACTAAACAGTCGATTTTTTTTTTTTCACCTAATAAATATAGTGAGATAGGTAACTGATCGCGTCTGCTTCTTGGCTCTGGATCCCAACCCCTGCACCTGTCCTGAGGTTCTCCTCACAGTTTGGCTTTTGTCATGTTGGTTATGATATTTGATTGCACCTTTGTAGTCAAGATTTCACGTCAAATTCTTCATTTTATCAGTTTTCACAGCCTGTTTGGAAGAGTAGTACAGATCACTAAACGCTGGGTTCTTACTTGCTTTCCAGGGTCATGGAGGAGAGTGGGCAGAGTAATAGATTAGGTCCCCACCATCTCTCCAGTCCACATTGCTTCCAGGGATGCTACCTCTAACCCAGCATCCCCACTCCTTGGAGGCAGAGCCTTCCATCCCTTGGGGAGAGGGGAGTGTAGTGAGCAGGGAGGCATGCTGTGATGAACCCTCCACCATGCTCCAGGAATCGCCCTGCCAGTTCCCTGGAGTCCTTCTTGCCCTGGGCATTTGCATGATCCATTCGGGAAGCCTTCTCAACACTTCTCCCTCCTGGCTGCAGCATCATCTGTTGTGTGGTTGCAGCTTTTCCTCTGACCTTTCTGCTTCCTTCTTTCGAGAACTCTTCACTATCTCTGGATCGAGGAGGGCTTTCCTCGTTTCTGGTAGGATTGACAGTTAAGAACATCTTTCCAATTATTTCTATGGTTCAGGAGTAAAGAGGGCAAGGTGCTTGTTCCTGAAAAAGGAACAAGTTGAGGTAGGAGCGTTCATTTCTTTGGACAGGTATGTGCGTCAACACTGCTGTGAAGTCAAATCTGGAGGCATTAGCCTCGAGGTGAATGAATGAATGGTCAGCAGTCTACCTTCCCCAGTAGTCAAGGGCTCCTGGCCATCCAGGGAACCATCAGCATTTTCCCAGGAGCCCAAACTTTCCTTTCTACATTTTTTTTTTTTTTTGGACAATCCATGAAGGAGAGGAGGAGGAAGAAGAAGAGAAGAAAGGGGAAGAAGAGAACCGTTGTTAAGAGTCTAACAATGAAAACAATACCACCCACCACGATGGATGATCCCTTATGAAACAGCGCTTGGTTGAGCCGGCTCACCTCCTTGCAGGAAATTCATGGGATAAACGATGGCGTGGTATCTGTCTATGCTGAGGGACACCAAGACGTAGGTAGAGGCGTAGAGCAGCACGACCTGGGGACGGAAGTGAGAGAAGGTGCGTGACTTCGCAGAGGTGAGGGAAGGCACATGATGCAAAGATGAGTGTTTTGTGCTGTTTTAGAAACCCGGGCACTGAATCAAGGGGAGGGCTGAGGGTTGAGTTAGGGACACTTCCTGTTCCAGGCAGCAGATTGCTGTTCTTGGTGCCGGAATTTGCATGGCAAGTGGTGACAGTTGAGAACGCTTCCAGCTCTCATTTGCTCACTCATTCACTGGGTGTCTTGGAGACTCCACGTTGCAGAATCAGTTCGTCCCTCTTTCGATATTTGCATGGTACATTTGTTTGTGATTGACTTTTAAAGCTAAACTAATTTTCTCTGCCACAGTTGACATTCCAGAGTAATTAGAAACAAATGTTCGTTTGCCTTTTATCAGTGAGAGATGTTGAGAGATGATACTAAAAAGGTTTTGGTTTCAGGGAGCTGGTCTGAATCATTTATCATCATCCGAGCTGACACTGTCGACACACCCCTTTCTCATCCACCTCTCTAGCAGAGCTGTTCTCTAGGGTCGGCCTTGGGTCTCCTCCGATTCCTTCCTGCCCTTTCTTTTATTAACCTCACCCATGCCCTTTAATTATCCTGAATGTAGTGTTATTTGCATGCTTTGCAGAGAAGGAAATTAGGATATAAGAGGTTAATATCTCTTATGTGAAGAGCATACTCCAAATGTAATTAGATGAAATATCTTTGAAAGGATGATCAAGGTGGAAAACTTTCAGCTAACTTGGAGCCTCGTTTCTCCTAAGAGCCCAGCTATCTCTCTGCTTCATAAAATTTGGGTCAACGTAGAGCGTGTAGAAGAGAAGTGTGAAGTCTGAAGTCTAAAGGGGAGTGTCTGAATTTCTTCTAAAATGAAATGGAAATAACATAACTTTGGCAATAACCTCTGTCTGAATCCGTACTTTTTCTC